GCAAAAAGTTCATTTTTACATGAAATTGGCGCCAAAAAGATGTACCTGAGCAAATTGTCGATTTGCCAGGTTTTTACTATAAAAATCGAGAGGATTTTTGAATAGATATGTAGCCCAAGGTAGTCTTTATCCTTATGGCGACTATAAAGCCAAAATAAATACAGTAACCCATTCAAAATCGCATTTGTTTTTTTGCGGGAAAATTGTTTCTTTCAAAATTACCAATCTCACATGGAAGCTCTAAAAATGAATGGTTGTTTAGTTCAGCATCGCGCGGTGAGTTTCAAAGTCATTATTATGCGATCACGAAGAAGGCATGGATAGTAGAGCCAGTGCGAACCTCTGCGAAGCAGAGGTGACGTACTGGTATTACAAATAAAGCATAGAATGAAGTCTCTTTAGTTCAGTGGTTGATTCTCAACACATCTTCTCGATGTTTTTCTTAAGCTCGTAAAAATTGATGCTATAAGAGCGGCAACTTCTGTGCTTATCCCTGGAAAGATCATGTGCAAAACACCAAAAATTCCATTTCCAAATTATGAGCGCTTCTACTTTCCTCCTTGGCAATGTACTTGAATGAGGACCCAAGTCTGTCCATAGCTGTTCCTATCTATGTATGGCTATCTCATCGCAAACCCAATGAAGAAATAATTTTGCGGTACTCGTGATGTCCGTGTGCCTATGTTTGCGCTAGATCTTTTCAATCATAACCTGGAAGCAACACTGATGTTGCTTTTTCCGTTAATGCGAGTCTCAGCTGATTTTCGAACAGTTTCAAAAGCTTCAGTCAGTGAAAAAAGCGAATTCAGTGAGAATATTCTCTCCGAAGTCACGTTTTTCTTTATGAAGGTTTATGTAAAAAATTGTATGAAATCGAGAAGTGCAAGTATTAATGTAGTGCGTGCTGCTCGTAAGGTCAGAGAACATAAACTAGCGTATGTATCGAAATTTACGTCAGTGATGACCTCTGCCACAAACAAGGGCAGATCAGGGCTTGAATTATGTAGGCTTTATCAACTGAAACAAAACATGAAAAATGCGGTAGAAGTATTTAAATCCATAATCAAACCTCATGCAGTCTTTTTTGTGACATAAAGAAAGTTTGTCCAGAAAATGGCACGTTCTTATTCAATTTCATAACACTTTCACTGAAATATGCATAGTAATAAACGGGTAGGGGACTATATGCCGCCATTAGGCTCCACCCCTCCACATTCACACACTAAGCGACTTCCACTACGATAGCATACCAAAGCTCAAAAGGGCTTCAGTTAGTAACAGCGTGATGCTCGCAAATTTGCGACCTCATCAATATATCAGATTTTGTCTCGTGTTAGGGCACTGTAATCACTCGTGAACAAATTTCTATTTTTATGCGTATGCTTTTGTAAACCGATTTTCTAGCCAGTCTGTTGTTCAACGCTTTTTCGGTATAAAGTACCAGTGCGTCACCTCTGCTTCGCAGAGGCTCGCACTGGCCCTACTTTTTGTATGCCTTGCTCATTCCCGCATAATAGTGACATTGAAACTTACCGCGCTATGCAGGCTATCGCGAATGAATTGTAAACAACTACTCATTCCGAGAGCTTTTTTGTGTGAGATCGGTATTTTCGCGTGGATGAAACTTTTCCGAGAAGAATAAATGCAAATTTAAACCGATTTTTGGACATTTTATGGTTTGGTAGTCACCATAACGACGATGATCACCGTGGGCTACATCTTTGTGCAAAAATCTTCCCAAATGATTAGGTAAAATCTTGACAAATTGAACATTTACGCAACTGATTTTTCTCGGCGCCATTTTCGTAAAGTAATCAACTTTAGTTCAATTTTTTGGGCTAAGCTTGCACATTAGCTTGTAATCATATCCATGAATTTGCAAAAAGTGGTGGTACAGGCCCAACTTTGCTGGCCAGAAGCCAAGTGGATCCGTTTGCAGCGCAGTTTTTGAGGTATCCACTCAACGGATTCGCTCGTGCTTTTGCATAGCGGACTTTCATGCTGCTAGCATGCGCCATGCAAAATTTGGGCTCAAGAGGTTGGCTGGAACTCGCTTTACGAATTTCGTAACGGACAGACACACACACACACACAAAAACACGTAAACAACCCTTAGCCCGTTATTATAAGTCATGATAATATAAAAACGGGCTAAGGATGTTTACGTGTTTTTGTGTGTGTGTCTGTCTGTCTGTCACGAAATTCGTGGAACGGTTGCCAGCCAACATCTTAAGCCCAAATTTTGCATAGCGCATGCTACCAACATGAGAGTCCACTATATCAAAGCTTGAGCGGATCCGTTTAACGGATCCCTCAAAAAATGCGCGTCAATCGGACCCACCTGGCTTTTCGTCCCCAAAATTGGGTCCGTAATTCCACTTTTTGCAGGCTCGTGGATGTTTATGGCAAGTAAATGTGCAAACCATAAACTTAGGCCCAAAAAATTGATCAAAAGTCCACTACTTTACAAAAACGGCGCCAAAAAGTATTGGTTGCGTAAATGGTCATTTTGTCAAGCTTTTACCAGAGCATTTGATGAGATTTTTGCACCTAATGTAGCTTATGGTGACTACTGTTCTTATAGCGACTGTCAAGACTGTGGGAAAATCAAAAACGTGCAAAATTTTGCTTTGTTCTCCTGCAAAAAAATTTCATCCACGCGAAATCACCGATTTCACATGATAAAGCTTTCGGAATGAGTAGTTGTTTACATTTTGTTCATGATAGTAGGCATTGCTCGGTGAGTTTCAATGCCATCATTATGCGAGAATGAGTAGGGCCTAGATAGTAGAACCAGTGCGAGCCTCTGCGAAGCAGAGGTGACGCACTGGTAAAGTATAACGCGAGACCTATTAATGTGCTTACTTTCGCCTCAAATACCATCTCAAGCATGAATTATTAGAGTATTTCATGGCCCACGGCTGGCCTTCCCTTTTCTTTTTTCCCAGTTTTTGAATTCCAATTTTTTTCGACTTTCGACCCAGTTTTTGAATTCCAGCTGCAGATCTCTTATTTTCAGGACGGAAGATATCGACTGAAGAAGCGTAAAATCTTTGCACTGCACGTGTTCGTAAAGGCCGAGTTTGATTGAATCCAAAACTTTTTTTGTTTTTTTTACAAAATTGTTCTTTTGAAGCATTTAGGCATAACTGGCAAGTGAGGCTTTGAGTAGGAACTGATTGTGTGCTTCTAATCTAAGTACTGTCTAAGCGGAAGCGCAAATGATTCAACGACAACAGAGAAATTTATTTTTAACTTGTCCTAAATACCGTGCCAGCAAACGAATAGGCTGGCATGCTTTTCCGCGCAGGCGCAAATCAGGACCAGGCACGAGGTTGTCAAATGACAAGCTGGAAGTCGTTTTCGGCAAAAAAAAGCAAAGGGGATATCGTTTTGCGGGGTCCGGGGGCGAAGCCCCGGAAAAAATTGGTAGTTTATGCCCTCTGCTTATTTTAACATGTTATGTGCAGGCGAACACTGGAGTTCGCGCGCGTCAAACCGAGCCGTCGCTAATTGCCGCACGCGCGACGTCGCTCAAACGATGCTTTTTGTAACAGCATACATGACTAGTTCTCAATGTATGCGCAACGAAATGACATCAAATTTTGTAAGCGAACAGAGAGAGGCTAGTGGAAACAAAGTATGAAAAATTGTGAAAAACTTTTGTAAACGGAACGCGTAATAAGCCTTTTTTCCGAAAATTTTGCGAAATTGGTAAATGAAAATGTGAATTCAAATGGCTCGTTTGCAACGCGCAGATGACGACATGGTGTCAAACTTGGTACGTACGTGGACACAAGCCTGTAGGAGTTAAATTAGGAGTTTCATTGAAAAATTATGTGATGTGACTGAAGGTTGTGGCAAACTTTTTCTGAAAATTTCCCGCTACCGAAGAAACGAAAAATGGCTTGTTGGCAACGCAGAGGTGACGAAATCGCGTGGGATTTGGTGTGTATCTGCGCAGTAGGACTAAGTAACAAAGTATGAAAAATATATTAACATGAAATAAAATATTATGAAAAACTTATGTGAATGAAGAGCGTGCTTAACTTATTTCCAAATTAGCTTGTCATTTGACAAGCTAATGACAAGCTGAGCTTGTCAAAACTCTCAATTCACATAATTTTTTCAAAATTTTTTACATAAATCTCTTCTACGCCTATTGTATAGTATATATTAACATTTTGGTTTCAAACTTTTTCGTCTCCTCTTTGCTAGAGCCAAAAATAGCCTCAGCAGGCCCGTTTCCTAAGGAGAAAAGCCCGCTGCAATCGAACGGTGTATCGCTGAGTCGCATAGGTGTCGCTCTGATATTTTATCACGTATAACTTATAGCACGTCGGATTGAACCAATAGCACTACCGATTATGGTGAAGGCCCGTCATACTGAACTCTCGACTAGGAGAGGGTAGTGAAGGCACTGTTGTCTTGGATTCAACTGACAGAGGAGGGGTGAGCATGCCATTCTTTTGGTTCTCTTGTTCAGACCTATAAGCATCCATTTCAATTTCCTTGTATAGGTTAGACTTTTCTTTTTATCGAACCTGTTTTGTGACCGCTCTCAATATTGGTATTTTAGACTAAAGTGGGTGCGAGTGATGGTTCTATTAGCGGCAAGTCACCTCTAGGAACCACACAGCTGGAAATAGATGGAACACGAGCACGATTCGAGGTCCAGATGCGCAAGTAACATTACTACTAAGTTGTATTTTCACTTTTTTATTTGTTTTTTGCTTAATTTCTGGAAATGTAGTGTATCAACTCTCTGCAGACTAGAAACTGTACAATTTTGATTTTTTTCCATACTATCTCATTATTTTCAGGCTAGCTGGAACGAAGTCGCAATATTCTTCCACAAAATTGATTCTGACAAAAACGCTGTCGTTAATGGGCGATTTGGCTATGTTAGTATTTTGAACTCATTTGCTGTTTCAAAGTTCAGTGTTTTTGAGGTCTAACGAGGACATCATTTTGGTGATGTAGCAATAAAATTCCTCAACATGAACCATGTCGAAGAAGCTAGGCGACTAGGTGAGTTCAATTCGGAAGCAGCGGCCCACAAAGTAAGTTTACATGACTAATCAGTTGTTTAATTTGAAAGTTTGAACCTATTTTTCGCTCTAGAACGCTCGACACGACAATATAGTCTTCTTATTCCTTGGTTATTGTCCTGAAGCAGACAAATATGGCATCGTGATGAGTTATTGCAAGGGCCCGTCGTTACACTATCTTTTTCATGAAACCGCTTGATATAGGGGCCGCACATGTGATAGCTATTCAGATTTGTCAGGTAAGGATGCTGGCTATGATCTGTAATCAAAATCTTGATAAGCTGCATTTATCCAGGGTGTCTCATATCTTCATCAGAAGAAGATTATTTATAAAGATCTCCAGTCGAAAAACATCTTCATTGAAAGCAAAAATAAGGTCGTTATCACTAATTTCGGACTCTTCAGCATGGGACGATTACGCTATCCACAAAGGTAAGCCGAGAAACTCCAGTTGGAAGTTTTATCGTAATTGCCAGTTTGTTTCAGGAATGACGCTATATGGACATCATCACATTGGTTGGCATATATGGCACCAGAAGATCCGGTTAATTGATGAGGACTGTAGCGATTTATTATTTACCGAAAGCACTGACTTGTTCACGTTTAGGTGGGAAGCTTCTTATATCCAGCTTTTTATCTCTCCGTTCTCTCTTGAGTTGAGGCTTTTGATTTTTTATTTGTGTTTCTTCTCCATATTTATGTGACTTTGCTTTGATTGAGCGGTTTCTGAATAGCTAAGTTTACCAAAAACATTTGCTACAATGATAAATGTATGAAATTTCTGGCGGTGGTCATTTATAGTCACTGCATTCCAAAATGTGCGGTTTTGAACGTTGATCTGGTTTCTTCTCTTTACCCATTGCAAGTTATCTTGATAAGTTGTGATTTTACCGCAGACCTTTTGTAAGAGTAAAGTTTAATGTCGACCTTTTGATTCTTTTCTGTAGGTAAAAGGCAGGGGAGCTGTGGGTGTGCCGACTAGCTGTATAAATTAAAGAATTTTTTTTGATAGCGATTTCATCCCGTGTCTCGTAGTAAGCGTGATGTAGTAAGCGTACGTATCAATAAACGATATCTACACCAAAGCCTACCGCACCATTCACAGAAGTTGTCAGAAATGTGTGAAAGGACGATCTTCAGGGCTAGATTTTCGGTTCTAAATGTGTACTTTTATCGTTGAATCGCTCTAGATTTGGACTCAATGCGCGCCCAGTAGTCCGGCCCACTGTCTATCTCATGACAAGTCGAACATTGCTTGCGCAAAGCATTTGTCACTTTTCGAAAAAGCTTTTTTGCACAACGCGCTATATGATTTGATCGCAGAAGTGGCGCAATCACGTCTACTTTGGTTCTGCCTCTGTAGATCAAATAAGTACCATCAGGATTGGTTCTTTGGTGAATGCCTTATCACTTCGCTCTTAAAGGCAGCGTTCGTTTAAATCTGGGCAAGGCATCACGTGGAAACCGATTTTGGGGCCTAACTGAGACACTGCTTAATCAGCAGCGCAAATGACTCACCCACGACTGATAAATTCTCCTCCAAACTGGACAGCATCGTATTAACGAATCGTGCATCGTGCCAGCATACATCCCTCTCCCCCCCCCCCCCTCCAGCTGCCAGTGCAGATTTCTTTCATTGACCTTACTGCAGAGATCTCTAATATGATCTCTGTTTTTTTGTTAAGAATGAATTGTTTTCGTTTTTTTTCTCTAATAAAACTTGTTTTTTGGGTAAAGTGTTCACCGCGCAGTCACTCGGAACAGTTTTTGGGTCAAATGGGATTTCGTAAAAAAATTTGGGTCAAAGGGGAATTCGTTTTCGAAAACCCCTTTTGACAACCTCGTGCCGGGCCCTGGCTTAATCTCTCGCGAAGCGTTCCCGTGCGAAAGCATGCAAATCGATAAAACTCGTCCGCTAAATGAGGTACCAGGGATAGGTTTGTAGATAAAATTGTCGCTCGTAGATATTATTTGCGCTGCTCTATGGACAGTGCCTTAACTTTCGGTCATTTTCCATGTGGGATTTCTTACTCCACAGATTTTCAAATGCCTTTATGCCGAAAACATACCGCACGTGAATACTCCACTTTAACTTATCATAAGGGCTTTTTGAAAGTACAGAAGATAGAGCATTCCATCAAACTACGATAGTTTTACTTGCTGCTGTGCCTTTGGGGTCCAACAGTATTGAATTAAAACGTCTGGCAATTATCCAGATCGCGTGGCGACTGAAATCGCATGAGGAATGCGTTGGGTCTTGAATTGGGAAGTCCGGGACACTCATATTCAGGGCTCGGCACGAGGTGGCTAGATGAAAATGGAAAAGACGAAGTCCCCCTTGACTTTTGGGAATTTTTACGAAGTCCCCTTTGACCCTCAACCAAATTTCCTCTAAAAATCTGAAAAATTCACCAAAATCCCCCAAAAAACGAAACGTCGACTAAAAAAAAGGTCGCCGTCGCCAATTTTCCGTGTCTCTTCGGTCACAAAAACGAAACCCCCTTTGCTTTTCGTCCCAAAAACGATATCCAGCTTGCTTGTAAGCCACCTCGTGCCGAGCCCTGCTCATATTTGGGCGTTATTATAAACCTACGTTCCTTTTTTGACGCTTTCTCTTTTTTTCAAAAAACAAAAAATCAATACTTTTCTTTGTGTTTAAATGTTTTCGTGTCGAAAGTCCGAAAATTTTGAAGATTTGCGAAGTGCGCATACAAACCAAAGCGAGAGGTAGTCCAACTTGACATCCAGCGCGTGGAAACGCCACTTCTATTGAACTTTGTTTCTCCTGTTTTTGTTTTCGACTAATACCTTTCCTACATAAGAACTTCATGCAAGATGTGCGCATGTCTTCGCAATCAACAGAGCTTCGTTTTCAACCTTTTTATAGCCACCTCTGCCAAGCCCTTAGAAGCATACTTTCATGGAACTTGAAGTCATGTAGCTCAAGCAAAGCTCGCGCACATCATTTGTCCAGGATGCTACTTTAATTGTTGCGCAAAAGTCCTCTAGAAAATTCAGGTCTACATTGCTTTAATCTATAGTCTTACCCTGTCTAGAAAGGTTCCTCTGCCAGTCGAACGGGGAGAATTTACAGAGCAGATTTGGAACTATGCGTGCAAGACTAACAGCAGAACTTTGAATCTTACGTCAAACCAGAAGCCAGTCTTACGAAATGCGCAACGCAAACAAGTCTCTGTAAGTAAATACTATATCTTATAAGCACTCGCAGATAAGCGAGCGCGCTAGCGCTTTTGTTACCTGATACTTTGATACAACTACAACCAGGGTTCCATTATTTTATCAAAAAACGGGATTTACACCGATTTCGTTAAACTTTAAACAGCAAATCGATTTCTCAATTACAATTAGATGATTTTTATATTGTGAAGAAAACTGACAATACTTTTGAAGGACAGCGGGTTTTGTGCACTTGAATCAACGGCTGGAAGGTTTAGAAAAGGAGTAAACATCCCTGAACTAGGATTGAGAAAAGCTACGTTTCATTCTCAGTTTCTGCAAGCAAAGCGCAGTGACAAAAAAACCTCTGAAGTAGGTTTCAGCGTGTGCTCGCAAATCACGCATGCCTTCACGTTAGGCCTCGGGCAGACTTCACGCGATTTGATCGTCGCGACTGAATCGCGACGAGACAACTGTTACAACATCATTGCCGATAAACTTGCATTCGGCTGTGATACTTTTTCAGCCCAAATTTTTTGAATGTGAAATTAAAATGAATGGAAATCTTGGCGATTAGATCGCGACGATTAAGTCGCGTGAAGTCTGTCCGGGGCCTTAAAGTGCGCAGGATCCTTCTGCAACTTTATGGACGGTGCGTTATTAGCACTTTCTCAATCTGGTCATGTCCATTCCATTATGAATGTGAGTTCATTAGGTCCACTGTTGTAGGCGTGCCTATATGGCTGAATCATGGTAACAAAACCAAAAGCGTTTTACAATCACCGACAAGATGATAGTTACTTCAGAAGAAGTTTTGCTTTAGAAGAGAAATTGCGGAAGGATTCTTGAGAACTACAGTGGCGATATTAGGAAAAAATTTGAGTTACACCCACTTTTGTCACAGTTTTTCGTGTAGCAGAAGGTCTTGAAGATGGGCAGGTCTTATCGGATACCCATAAAGTGATGGAAGCATTGCGAGATGGATGGAAGAGAAACCGAATGCAGAAGGGTATGATGAAAATGTTCTCTAATGTTGTGATAAATGATATGCTAAACTCTTAGGCTTTGGCCATACTTTGCCCGTGTTGCCGATGTTTCCAGTGTTGCCAGTGTTGAAAGTGTTACCGGTGTTGAAAGTGTTGCCAGTGTTGAAAGTGTTGAAAGTGTTGCCGGTGTTGAAAGTGTTGAACGGAGATCATCAGTCTAGCATATTCATTCTTTCTCGAACGATCTCACCGGCTGGTGAATACGTTGGAAATGGAATCGCTGAGAAATGAAACTGAAAGGAGATGGGGAATGTTTTCGCATGCAAAAGATCCAAACAAACTTTTTGGAAAGTGGACGGCTTGTCTAGAAGAGGCAATCTCTAGTATTTGAAAACGCTGCAGACCTCACTTAGGTCCTTTACTCACTAATCGCAAGCGATGCAGGATTCGAACTAAAACAAATCACTACTCAGACGTCAGCTTTCTCAAATATTGGAGATTGCCTATTCCAGACAAGCCGTCCACTTTTCAAAAGTTTGTTTGAGGATCTTTTGCATGCGAAAACATTCCCCATCTCATTCCAGTTTCATTTCTTATTCCCCAATTCCATTCCCAACGTATTCACCAGCTGGTGAGATCGTTCGAGAAAGAATGAAACTGCTAGACTGATGATCTCCGTTCAACACTTTCAACACTTTTAACACTGGCAACACTTTCAACACCGGTAACACTTTCAACACTTTCAACACCGGCAACACTTTCAACACTGGCAACACTGGAAACATCGGCAACACGGGCGAAGTATGGCCAAAGCCTTACAATGCTTACGAGTACATTCGTGGGAGGCGAGCAAACCTCATGAGATGAGCATGTTTTATTAAGAAATCGCAAGAGAAATGTTGAAGTAGTGAGACTGAATCAAAGTGTCGTGTCGTCGGAACATGATGTACTATTTTATTCTATTTATACCGGAGGTTTTGTCATGTGGTTCTATCTATAGTCTTGAACTACTTCTTCCAAAAATCACTATCAAATAACTCTAACCAGATAATTTCAAAATCAATCCATTTAGTATGGTCATTGAGATATCAAAGCATGTGAACTGAATTGGACAGCGATGTCTGCTGTTTCATAAGAAGTAGCCCGAGCGTGGCCTTATGATAGCTAGTAAAGATTGAATGTAACGTATTGGATTGTCAAGAAAATAATTTCGTTTTTATTTGCTTGCTATAGCAACGCGACCAGTCTAACTACAAAATGAATAAGTGGTATTTTGATAGAGCAAAGCAAGCTCTACGAAGAAACATCCGAGTAGTAACTTGGGCCAAAAGCGGCCAAAATAAGCCTTTTTAAGTTTTTTCTGTGCTAAATTCGATTATTTTTCAAGAAC